AGTAGCAGAAGAATGAGCTGAAAGGAAGGTACCTGACTTTAACCTTGGATCAAGTGACCACAAGCCAGTGATTTATTAATTTACTGAAGCATAAGAGTGCCTTTACCAAATAAGAGATCAAATAATTTTTCATCTTCAAAGGGCCTCTCAAAGACAAAACAAAACAAAACAAAAATACAAAAACAAAACAAACCAAAAAATCCCCAAACCCCAAAATTCAGGAAACAAGGGGTCAGAGTGATAGTAAGGTCGGAGGGTGCTTATCTTGCTTGTGACCTACCCAGGTTTGGTCCCTGGCACCCCATATGGTTCCCTGAGTCCAGCCAGGAGTGATTCCTGAGCACAGACCCAGAAGTAATCCTGAGGATTGCAGGTATGGCTCCAAAAATAAAAAATCAAACTAAAACGTGAAAAATAAAGGGCCTCTTGGAAACACAGGGGAAAATTGTCATGAAGAAGGACTTTTCATGAAGAATAAAACTTAATACTAATTTCAGACTGGAAAAATTTTGAATGACTACTTTTACATTGAAGAACTGTTTTAGAGAAAAGGAACTATTACATCTTGATCATTTCTTTGGTGTAAAATTTGAGCGTTGATGATACCAGTGAAAAACAAATATTTTTATTATTAATATTAATGTTTAAATTAATAGATCCATCCCATACTTAATAGGCCATAATTTCTTATTACTACATTTAGACTATGGTCTATGATTTAAAAATCAGATTAGTATCATGTATTTCTTGAGAAAGATTTTTTTTTTTTTTTTTTGCTTTTTGGGTCACACTCAGAGATGCACAGGAGTTACTCCTGGTTCATGCACTCAGGAATTACTCCTGGCGGTGCTCGGGGGACCATATGGGATGCTGGGAATTGAACCTAGGTTGGCTTCATGCAAGGCAAACGCCCTACCTGCTGTGCTATTGCTCCAGCCCCGAGGAAGCATTTATTTTACCTCTTTTTTTCCCCCTGCTTTTGGCTTCTGGGTTGTTCCTGGCAGTGCTCAAGACTTACTCCTGGATCGTTCTCAAGGGTCTTTCTGGGGTGGGGTACCATATGAGTGCAAGGGATGGAACCAGATTTTGACTGGGTGCAAAGCAAATGCCTTAACTCTTGTATTACCTCTCCAGCTCCAAGACAGATTTTTGGTTTATGCAATTCATAAATTATTATTTTTTGGTACCAGATATGAAAGAGTCAAGATACAGAACTGAGGGGCTGGAGTAATATTATAGCATTTATGCCAGGCAAACACCCTACCTGCTGTACTGTTGCTCTGGCCCTTGTGTCAGATGTTTTCTACAATGATGACTTCTAAAAAAAATGAGCTTGACCTTAGCCTGGAGAAATAGTGGAGGGGCTAAGGTGAGTTTAATTGCCTTGTATATGACTCAGGCTAATTTGATCCCCAGTACAGAACATATCCTACTTGAGCATTGTTGGAATGATCTGGGAGCACATAGCCTGAAGTAAGCCCTGAGGACTGAACTGTGGGTGTGATCTGCCCTCCTCACCCTCCCCACCCCACAACAGAAAAGAAATTTAGAAAAAAAATTTTATCAGGAGAACAGGTAAATTCCTTCTTTTTCCTTGCCACTGCCCCAAACTATATCCTTTTCTTGGTTTTGTTTATGAACTCTAAAATTGAAAAAAATAAATCACAGCATTCCTTAGGAAAAGGGATTATTCTAAGTTGTTTCCAATGTACAGAATACACACTCTTTTTTTGTTGTTGTTGTTATGGTTAAAAATCTGCTTCTCACATGGAATTTTCCTGGATAATGGCACCTTTCTTTTAGTCATCCAAACTACAAGGACCCAAGTTCCACCTTAATCTCCTTCCTCTCCCTCACTCCACATAGTCTATTGGTCATGAGTTCCTGGAAATTCTATCTTTCTACTTTATATAATCCTCTTTTTGTTAACTCTCCTCTTTTATTCATCCTTCTTATTATAGTCTTTGTTTGCATTTTTGTGTGTGTATGTTTTTGTTTTTGGCTTTTGGAGTCATGCTCAGCAATGCTCAGAGGTTACTCCTGGCTCTGCACTCAGGAAATACTCCTGGCAGTACTCTGTGGGCCATATGGGATGCAGGGGATCAAACTCAGGTCCACCACATTCAAGGCAAAAGTTCTACCTCCTGTACTATCTCTCCGCTGTCCCCTTCCTCCTCACCTATCTTTGTTGGCAAATCTTTGGTTTCTGTCCTGAGGTATTTGTAGTTAGGTCCTAATACCTTTCAGTCTTTAGCCTCCACAACCAGTTCTATCTCTTGGACAGTCCACAGATAATGTTATTTAAAATGTAAATTTGATCATGTTAAGCTCTGATTAAAAATTTGACTTCCCTATTCCCTGTAAAGCCAAGCTCAAACTTTCATGTCATACAATACTCTGGATCTATCTGGTCTGTGTCTTATCCCCATCAGGTATTTCCTTTACATATATTATCTGGGCTGTACACGTAATGAGGTTTAGAGACGACCACTGACTGGATTCATTACTGACAGAGCCATTACTGACTGGATTCCACAGGACGTCAAATGATCGCGTAGACGCCCACCTACAAGATGGTCAGACTTCTTCGTCAAGACCCTGAATGATCGGTTTGAGGCTCTGCATGTTCCTAGAACAAGCAGATGCCATTGGGCTACGCTAGCACGCAACAGGGATGAATGGAGACGTTACTGGTACCCACTCGAGTAAATCGATGAGTAACGGGGTATCAAGTGATATTATCTTTAGGACTTTAGTCCTAGGATTTCCCTTTCCTTTCTAATCTTTTTCCACTGTCATACTGTTCATTGCTTCCTATTTTCCCATTTTTTCTGAAGAACTTCTATTTACATTTCATTTGTTTTGGGAGGGGCAGAGGATGCTAACACATCAATGTTCGGCTCCTGGTGGTGTTTCGGTGACTCAACCTTTTCAGAAAAGGATATGGACACTTCTCAAAAAACTAAGAACCGAGCTTCCATGTGACCCAGTATCCAACCCGCTTCTCAGCATCTATGCCAAGGATCCAAAAAACTGTTCAGCAAAGTCATTTGCACTTCTATATTCATTGTAGCATTACTCACAATAGCCAAAATAACCCAAACTTTGAAGAACAGATGACAGGATAAAGAAACTGGTATATGCACAGACAACAGAATACGACTTGGCTATAAGGAAAGATGAATCACACATTTTTACTGCTATGTAATGAGTGTGGAGAGTATCATGCTGACTGAAGTTCGGAGGAAAAGATCCTGAATGATCTCTCATATGTGGGGTAAATATTAAAAAAATCGCTGTGGGGAACATAACCTGAGAACTGGTCTACAAAACTGAGTGTACCATGGTAGGGTGTCCAGGTTGGGTTGAGAAGGGGAAACTCTGGTGAAGAGTGTAGTTTTCAAATGTTGTGTATTTGAAACATTAATAGCGTTGTAAATCACAGTGCCTAAAAAAAAATTTTTTTTTTTTTGTCTTTCCTATGAGGCTATGGGAGGGTTGAAGTCATTTTTATCTGGATGCTTTCTGCCTGGCATCGAGACTAGTATATGGAAGGTACTCTACAGTCTTCATTGAAGGAGTGAAAGGAAATCCAAGTTTATACCATTGTGTGTGTATGCGCACGTGCGCGCGCACGCCCAGCAATATTCAGGGTTAGTTCCCTGGCTTTTGTGTTCAGGGATCAGTCCTGGCAGGCTCAGGGAACCTTATGGGGTGTCAGGAATCAAACATGCGTTGATTCTATGCAAGGCACTGTACTGCTGCTACAACCCAGGGTTATACCAATGTTTTGTTTCAATTTTGATTTGGGGCCAGCCACACCTGGCATTGCTCAAGGGTTATTCCTAGAGGGGATTGGGGTACCATATGGAATGCTGGGGATCAAACCCTATTGCTTGGGGATTGCTAGGGGATTCAGAGAATGTAGACTGGTGTTGTTAATCCCAAGGCTAGACAGGCCTTCAATAATCAAGTCAGAACTTGACTGTTGTCCTTGATGGGCTCACTGAAGTGCCTACAGGTTAGATTTCTGTTCGCCCACTGATGTCTGTGTCTTGTACAAGCAAGGGTTGAATGTTTTACTTCCCAGTAATGGAGATACTAGCAGTTTGCCAACTTAAAATGCTGTTCAGAGTACAAGTACTTGAACTGGTTATGTCATGTTTAAATGGCTCCATAAATTCTACCCCTTGCAATTAAGTACTAGAGCCCTTTTTCTTTTTGGAGTATGCAATGTGGAGGTAGAGTTTGGACTACACCTGACTGTGGTTCAGGGCTTGATTCTGGCTGAGCTCACGAGACCATACATTATTCCTGGATTAAAGCCAGGTTGACACCATGCAAGGCAGACTCCTTGCCTGCTATACTATTTCTCTGGTGCTACCTTTGCTCTTACATCATTTCTCAAGGGCACCATTTCTGCTTCCAGTTGTACTGCTCAACTACTTACACTATCTCCAGACATTCTGTTGTAACACTATTCTATTATCTGTGTTTCAGGGCAAATTCTATCTGTAAAATATATAATATATTTGTGTGTGTTGGGGGGGCACTGAGGGCAAGTGCCCTACCCACTGTACTACAATTCTGGCACTCTTTAAAATAATTTTTTTTTGAGACTGAAATTTAAAAGATCTGTTATCATGGGAATTTTGAAACATAAAATAAGGCATGTTATAATTAATCCATATTCCCATCATGTAGAATCAATAATTACATTTTCTAATCTTGTTTTATCTAGGCATTAAACCTCCAGATCCCAAACAGAATAGACACATACTTTTTCAATCTTCAAAAAAAATTTAAAAAATTCAATATACCATTAGCTATGTGATTTGAGAAAGGACATAGTTCAAGGCTTTTAGATGGCAAATCAGATATTGTCATGCATAGCATTTCTGAACATAGAACATACTAAAGACGGTTTTGATCAATTGCAAGAAAATACAAACTCAGTTCATTAAGATCCTCATGCATCTTTTTATTAAAGAAATATACATTTGAAATGTTTATGGTTAAATCTATCAATATTGAACAAGTATGTAAATAAATAGTAATTCTATAAGTGAGAAGACATCTCAACCTTATTAACTTTGCTGACATCTTCCCAACCACGTCTGATCTTCAAAATCTTTTTCCTGAAGTATGGCAGGAACAGTATGGCTTTACCCATCAGGACGATGATCGGAAGGAAAACAGCTATCATAAAAGTTGGAGGTGTGCACCATATAAATTGACTCATGTCTACCCATTTATCCCAGGCAAAAATCAATGCATGCATTGTGCCAAGGATAAGGGCAGCAATTCCCAGATTGCTCTGCAAAAGAAAACAAAAAGATGTGGTGAAGTCTGCTTCAGTTTATTTTATTCTATCTCTTCTCAAACTAGTTTGTTGCTTAGAAGTCCTTTCATTTGTGATCGTATTCCTTTTGCATTTCTCAACCATGTCCATTCATATCTGCTCACCTTTTCATAATTCTCATTTCCCTCTGACTCCTTTGGATTGCATATTAGTACCCAGGCCAAGTTGAGCAAATCTACTCCTCTCCTTTTTGTCTAAGCTATTTATTAGCAACTGCCTTCAATTTCCATTTTATGGTTCTTTGTCTTTTGTGCAATTGCCTTAAATTTGCCTACCGAGACATCTGAAATTAGGGATTCTGTTTAATAGGAGGTCTGCAAAATCAACAAGTTTTGAATTTTAGGTACTCCAATCTTGGTAGGCTGACTGAAGATTACTGCAAAAGTCAGTTTGACCTCAGAAATCTTTAGCAATTAGGAAGCCAAATAACTCTGATATTGGAACATAGATGCTAAAGTAAATAAGCTTACTCTATTATTAAGATTGTGATAAAGTGGAACATCAACAATTACTTCTTTCTTGAACAAAACAGTAAACACTTGTAAAAAAAATTCACAACACCACCTATATGAAGATCCTTAAAAATAGATTATTTTAGTTTTATACCTTCTAGATAACTTAAATGAACAGAAGTCTCCAATGTCCATAAGGTTGAGCCTACAAAAGTCATGGTGTTTGGGAAATGTGGCATCATTTCTAAACAGCACTGGAATAATTCAGATGAAGACACAATATCGGCACCAGTCAGTGTCTGTTGAAGCATGTGTATGGACGTGTATGACTGGGAATTTCCACAGATACCTACTCATAAAATCTAAAGCTATGTAATTTTAAAAACTCTTGGCAGTGCTTAGGACTGTATGCTTTTGAATCTCAGACATGGATCCACTTGTATTCACAAGTACAGGTTAGGGTATAATCCCGCAATTAGAGATTAGCCTCAGTAAATCAGAGAAATCGGAATGAATCCAAATTTCAGAAATTTCACACACACACACACACACACACACACACACACACACACACACAGCACCTTTGGTAGAATACTTTTGCATTAATATCACAAAATTGTAACTTAAAATGAAGTCAGGGGACAAGCAAAAAAACATTGAGTGCTTTTCTGTATTTCTGAAATATCACATTTCTACTCATTAGATGGATAAAAAATTGTATAAATTGAATAACAATTAATAAGTAAATATATGTAATATTATAAGCACAAAAAATTCACGAGTTTATTCTTATTTTACAGATTTACCTGAATGTAGTCAAATTCTCTCCATGTCAAAGTGTCACTGACAGATGGAATAGATGTCACAGCTAAAAGAGCCAGTAATGCAAGTGTAATAATCCCCACAGATACATAAATTTCCATTCTCCAAACATCATCCTCAATCCAGGCATCTTCTTTATTTTGTTGGACCTACAAGGTGAAAAGATTACAGACAAAATGTAAACAGTACTTTCCTACCCTTCTACATTCCCATGGTCAACTACAGAGGACCCTATCATCAGAGTCTCCACACTGTTTTGGGTCACACTCAGCAGTGCTCTGGCTATGCACTCCAAGATTAGCCCTGGAAGGCTGGGGATCAAACCCTAGTGGGTCATGTACAAGGTGAGCCCCCTACCTGCTGTACTATTTCTCCAGCCCCTCCACAAATTTATGACTTTGCTTTTGCATTCCTTTAAGGAGAGGACAGAAGAGCTATTCATCTGTCCTATAATATTCAATAACTTGAATAGCAATGTGCATCCATGGTAAACAGGCAGAAAATGAGAACAATCAGATCAGCATTAAATGGTAGTCTTGTGAGAATAAGAGAATACTACTGAAACATGGCCCTCTCTCTGAAAGGAAATGCTTGTTCTGTAGCTAAAGTTGTTTACAGTTGTTTACTATGGTCAACTTGTAGAACATTCAGCATGAAAGTACATAACCAAGTCCCATGAAATTACCTTACAATATAAAAAATACAGATTACTTTTTCAGTAAGTGATTCCAATAGGGGCTTGAGTATTGGTATTAAAACAACAAAGAATACATTTGTTTGGTGAATTAGACATTTTAACTCAGTGATACTGTCAATACCATCATCCTACCTGTTTATACGCCCAGTTTAGCAGCATATATCTGTAGGATCGCCTCATTGGATAGGTCAAACTATAAATTGCATGCAGCACAGCGAAAAAGAAGCTGAGAAGCCCAAATTGCTTTCTGGTTAACATCCACTTATCCAGCCAATTTGGAAATCTCTTATACTTGGTTCCATTGCGAAGTTGTACAATGGCTGCTATTACACCTGGCAAATAAACCAGCGCCAAGAGGGTGATGGAAACCATTGGCAAAACTTTGTTGATGACCAAGATTGGAATTCGATATAAGTATTGTTTATGGAATTTCACATAAGGGTAAATGACCTCTCTCATTACAGTATAAGCAAATGTCAGAAAGCCCACAACAGCAGCAATTCTTAGTGGTATGGACCACATTGGAAAAAGCTCTTGTTCTTGTTGAAGTTCTGGGGGGCAATCATATTCATCAAAATGGGTTGTTTGTTGCAAGTCCAAAACCACAGGTCTTTTCAGCATGCTTGAGTCTCCTGAATCTTTATTCTATAAAAGAAAATAAACATCTTAGAATAAAGCAATAGGATTTCCTTATTGGTTTCCCTATTTCCCAATAGGATTTCAGACTCATTGGTCACTGTGCTCATCAGTCAAAGACATTGAGAACCATGCTTTTGGGTACTGAAAAACTGGTGACGGCAGTCTGTACAACACTGATCAAAGGTGCTGTTAGTTATGTTGGGTTTCTTTAGTCATTAATGTCTCTTACTCATTTTAGTTAAATGAAATGTGTGCTTCAGATAAATCCACTACAACTTGAACTACTGTGCTTCTAGAATATTGGGAAAATGCAACAGGAAGACAAAAATTTAGGGGCTGGAATGATAGTGCATCAGGTAGGATGAACAGAGTTTGATCTCTGGCATCCTATATGGTCCCCAAGTACTGCCAGGAGTAATTCCTGAATATAGAGCAAGGAATAGCCTTTGCTGGGTGTGACTCCAAAACAACCCCCCCCCCCAAAAAAAAAACAACAAAAATTTAAAACATTTAAAATCAAGGAATCTTTGACAAAATAAAACCCAGAAGTTGTAAGTTATTTCCCTTATTGAAATAACTTGATATTCCAGCAAGTAAAAGTTGTAAAAGATGAAGTCATGCTGTTACATGTAATGATGTGGAAAGTATCATGCTGAGTGAAATGAGTCAGAGGAAGAGGGACAGATACAAACAGAATGGTTCCTTAGAAGCTTATCAGTGGAGTGAGAAGGTGGGATAGTTCAGGAAAGGGATCAATTACAAAGATAGAGGGAAGTGATAACTCTGGACCAAGACTAGGTGCTGAGAGGAGGTCAAGTGACATGCATGATGCCCTACCAGTAATGGCATTGTAAATCAGTGCTTAAAATTAAGGTGGGGGCTGGGAGGATGGGAAGAAAATAGTGCCTGCCATAGAAGCAGGCTAGAGGACTGGATGTAAACGGGACATTGGTGGAGGCAAGTGGATATTGGTGAAGGCTTTGGTGTTGGAACATTTTATGCCTGAAACTCTGAAATTCAGTGATTCAATAAAAATATAAAGAGAGAAAATAACCTCAAAATGTATAATTTCATGCTTAGAGGCTACTCTTGGTTTGGTACCATATGGTGCCAGAAATTGAATCTGGGTTCTTGCACCAGTCTGTTGAAGCATCTCTTTAGTCCACTTTTATTTTATAGGATGTTTATAAGGTTTAAATTCTTCTAGGTTTTTTGTTTGTTTGTTTGTTTGTTTTATTTTTGGTTCACACCCAACAATGATCAGGGATCACTCCTGCTCAGGATAAACTTCTGGTGGGGCTTGGGATGCTGGAGATTGAGCCACAGCCACCCTAGCTACTGTACAATCATTCTGGCCACAATAATGCTTTAATTCTTTTCTATTAACATGAATAACTACTTATAAAACTGCAAGGGAAGGTTAAGTTTGGAATCACTGGCCGCCATCCTCCAGAGGCCATTGGACAGTCAGGTTTGGACCTGCAGTGACGAGACAAGCCGGGCCTCACGCACGGGATGGGGTTGGGGTTGGAGCTGGCCCATTCCTCCCCGCCACAGCGAGACCCGAGTCGCAGCCCACAAATGACCTCTCTGGCTCCTGATGAAGCTGCTTAATGGCCACGATCCAAGAGACTCAGGAACAAATCTCGGAACCCAGCTGGTTTTGGCAGAAATCCTCCAGATTTAATTGTTAAAATTTCAGAATTTCAAAAGTGGTTGCGGCCACTACTGCAGCTGCGCAACATCCTATGTTATTCATAACCAGCAACAGGAAACAAATAGTCCACTGTTGCCTTTTCGGCAGATCTGAGTGTTGGAGGGTGTGGGATGGGAGTATGCTGGGGGTTTTGGTGATGGAGAATGGGCACCGGTGAAGGGACGGGTGTTTCATTGTATGACCGACACTTAAACCCAAAAGCTTTGTAACTGCTCTCATGGTAATTCAATAAATAAAATTATAAAAAATGGAAAAAAAAAGGTGGAGTTCAGGCCCAATTCAATCAGCCTAATCAGTGGCTGAATAGCAATACTACATTAAAAAAAATATGTTTGGAATCCTTTTCTCCAATACCAGTAATGAAAGTATTAACAAAGTTTTAATTTTGAGGTGAGGCAAAGTAAGAAGTGATATTTATTCCAAGAGTCCATTTATTTGGTTCAACAATATAGCATTGATTTACTTAATGATATCTTGACAATAATTTTGTAAGCCTAAAAGCAAATATGCAGGCTTACAAAATTATGTGGCATTTATGACTTATTAAAAAACCTAGAACTTCAGAATGTTAGAAGTAACTAGTAGGACCTTGGAGATGATTTGGTCTCTTATTCTACTGATAAACCAAAACCCAGTGACTTATTCAAGATGTTTCAGAAGTCCATGACAGTCAATCAGGTGCTGTTTGCCTCAGATACAACACTGCCTGTCATGCTCATAACAAGAATCACCTTCATAACAAGAATCAGCATGATCTCAGCACACTAGTTTAGAAATCATTTCTGTAATCAGGAATTATAGGACAACATTTGAATTATATCTATACATTAAAATTCATTATCTTATAAAAATTTATCATTTTACCAAAGACTCATCATCTTCGAGACTTCTTCTGGGCTTCATTTCCCAATGTTCTTGGTTTGTGATGTTTTGTTTGCTCTCCATGGATTCGATACAGTAGTATGGATTCAGCCACCTATAGAAAGAGAAATTAAACATCTCCTTCAAATCTTTGCTATTTATGAATAGGTACAATAGAACAATATGAAACTGTTATGTTATGAATTTAAGAATTAGAGGCAGAAAATGTACAACTGAAATTTGGATGGTGACCAATCCACTCATTTTCCTTTTTTTTCCTTCCTCTTAGCTGTTTCCATAATCAAGAGGTATGCACTCATGGCTTGGTGTTTTGCATGTTTTGGGTTGTGGCACTAACCAGGGGTCACACATGACTGCAGTGCCCACGCAATCATAGTGCTTGCCACGGCCCCATTCTTTATAGATGGCACCTGTACATAGTTTGTGGTGGTACTGAGGATCCTCAACTCCTGGGTAGTGCCCAGGATTGAACAGTTAGCTACAAAGTAGACACTATCACTGAGTTATATCCCCAGGGTCTCTGATTTACACATTTAAACTGTAATTTTTCTTGATGTCCTAGGGTCACGCCTGCTAGTGCTCAGAGTTTAGTCCTGGCCCTGCACTCAGGGATTACACATGGCAGGGGAGCATACCAGGACCTTCAAGTAAAGAGTACCAAGAATGACACTGGTATTTCCATGGAATTTAAAGGGTCTGAGTTAACTTCAGGAGCTCATTTAGAAGAAAGTAAATGTCTCTCAAAAATCTAACTTGAAATGCTTTAATTTTGTGACTATAAAAAAACTACCAATGGAGGCTGGATTTGGTTGGTACCAGATTATACTTTAGAACGTTTAATAGACTTGGTAAGGTTCACACTGGAGTTTGATATTTGATTTCCTAGAAATATGTTTAGACAATGAGCAAAATAGACACCACTGGTAATGTGACCGGATTGGCCTTTGGGACAAGACAGAGATGTAGTTACATTTGGACTAGTTGAATTATGTTCTCTCATTAATGTGCCCCATCTCCTGATCAACCCACAAGTTATCATTCAGGTTTGGTGCAAAAATTTTTAGTAAAGGAAAATATACAATGTCATAATATTCATTGCTTTCAATAGCTCTAGGATTACATCACGTATTTGTACTCTATGAAATTCAATGAGAAAAACAGATGAGTTAAATAGTACTTAGACAGAAAAATTTGAATTTTTCTGAAAAATACCAAGTTTCTAGATTTTAGACCACCTAAATTTTTTACATTTAGTGGCAAGTTATTTCTAAGACATTAATCTTTGGTGTTTTGGATTGAACATATTTCCCAAGTTTGTAATGATCTGAATCATTTCTTCTATTTGGAGAAATGGCCCTCCTTTGGCCAGAGAAGTGGGCAGCTGAGCCTAGGACTTGAACATTGGCTAATCAGAACTTTCTGTGCCCATGAACACACTGATTGGCTTGGAACCCTAACTTTAGCTGAATCAGAATCCTCCTGATTTCTAGATATGGAAGCAAAAGAGAGCGATAGCACAGCGGTAGGGCATTTGCCTTACAAGCGGCCATCATGGCCGATCCGAGTTCGATTCCTCCGCCCCTCTCGGAGAGCCCGGCAAGCTACCGAGAGTATTCGATATGCCAGACACAGTAACAACAAAGTCTCCAATGGAGACGTTACTGGGCCCGCTCGAGCAAATCGACGATCAACGGGAGGGCCTTTACTTTACTTTACTTTATTAACATTAAGTTGGAAGCATGGAAGTCTATCAAGCTTCTTCTCTGCGTGCTATAAGAAAATCTAATAAAATGGAGATGTCAATATCCATGTAAGAATAACCAAGAAATGGAGCAAATGAAAACAATGGAAAGAATGGAGAGAGGAAAAAAGAAATGTGGAAAGAAAGAACTTGTGGTTGGCAGTGAGGGGTAGGGGGAGGAGGCAGTGCCAGGGATCAAACTAAGGTCTCTGAAGAGCTTGGCCTGGCAATACCACCACATAAACCTAGCCATGGTGACAGAGCTTAACTGTTTAGAGCATCCCTAAGACCAGATTCTGAATTTTTCCCTTACCCAAGCCAACACGTTTCATTTTTGCCCTTAACCTTAGTTCAAGCTGGCAGGTCCATTATTAGAATTCAAAATAGTTTTGAAGGGAGCTGGAGTGATAGCACAGCAGGTAGGGCGTTTGCCTTGCACGTGGCCCAACCCAGGTTCAATTCCCAGCATCCCATATGATTCCCCGAGCAGGCCAGGAGTAATTCCTGAGTGCATGAAACAGGAGTAACCCCTGTGCATCGCTGGGTGTGACCCAATAAGCAAACAAAACAAAAACAAAACAAAACAAAAAAACCCAAAATAGTTCTGAGAACAGCATACAGCAATCAACTTGAGTTTTGAACTGACAAGGAAGGAAAAGAACTATGACTTCAGGTCTGTGCTGTTGAGATTTTTAATTCTGTGAGTTGTGGGATGGCAAGAATATTAATACGCAAACCAACACTTATTCACCATTAATTTGTTAACTATATTGTGCACAATGTTAAGCAGAGGCAGCATAAAGTTAGACAGTCTGGAGCTTCTGCTTTAAGCTTAGGATAGAATCCAGAAAGCTGATACGCTGATAAGCTCTTTCTTCCAAAAAAAATTTGTACCTCTGAGGCTTTTTTTTTTTTTTTTTTTGCTTTTTGGGTCACACCCGGCGATGCTCAGGGGTTACTCCTAGCTCATGTACTCAGGAATTACTCCTGGCGGTGCTCCGTGGACCACAGGGGATGCTGGGAATCGAACCTGGGTCGGCCATGTTGGCTGCTATCGCTCCAGCCCCGAGGCTTTTGTTTTTTGTTTGTTTGGCCACACCTAATGCTGCCCAGGGCTGACTCCTGGCTCTAAACTTCTAAAGAAGGGTAAGGTGTGGCAAGGTGTGTAAGGCAAGTTTAAGCCCCTGCACTATCTATTTTATGGTCAGAGCCATAAAAACTAGTAAGAACTGAAAATCAGTATTTAGTTCACTTAAAAAAAATATTGGCCTTCTAGTAAATCCTTTAGCTTCGCTACATTTTGGCTGCTATATAAAGGGAAAGCTCCTTCGGGTGATTTAAAAGCATAATTCCTCAAGGAGTATGCCTTATTTTTTCTTTATTGGCAGAGGAACTTAGGTAGAATATTATTGGGGTCATTGAGTTCAAATCCATCTCTTTAATAGCCACCAAGGAAGGCAGATTTTGGTAGACTTTGAAAAACCGGTTTTATTTGGTGCCCCATGTTTCATAGCTTGCAAAACAGCTGCTCACAAATCCTGCAGCAACAACCCCTCTCTAGCTAAGCCCTCATTCCATCCAAGACCACCTCCCCCACACACACACAAACACACCTCCAGGAGCCCCAGTTTTTTTTTCTTTTTGGGTCACACCCAGCGATGCTCAGGGCTTACTCCTGGGTCTGCACTCAGGAATTACTCCTGGTGGGTGCTTGGGGGACCATATGGAATGCCCGGGATCGGAACTCGCCTACCAGGCAAAGGTATCTGCTGTACTATAGCTCTGGCTCAGAGCTCCAGTTTCATAGACAGATGGTGATACCGGAAGGTTGAGGGTTCTCCTCTAGTCCTACTTGAGCGGCATCCAACAAGTTGGAAGCATTTACTGAATGAGGCCACTGCATTCATAACCTGGATGAAAAGCCAGATTGGCTGTGGAATGGGGGTACCCAGCCACCTCACCATGGGAGGGAGTTTAGGCTGCGGAGCAGAGCCAAAGCAAAGCCCAGAGCGGCAGGGAGCTTAACTGCACGGCTTACAGTCAACTTTGTGCCCCAAGCCAAGAAAATAAAATAGCAGTCAAGAAAAATATGTTGGTTTCCATCAGACATCAACCAGGATATTATTTCAAGTCTACGGTAAACCTTTCTCATTAAGCCGAACAACAGGAAAGCACAGTGTTCAGAATTTGACCCAAATTTCCCTAACTCCCATCTCCGTTCAGAAGCAAAGCATATTTCTGATGTGATTGTTGTTTTCCTGTACCAGGAATGCTGACCTGATGTTCCTGTTAAATATTGACACAGCTCAACAGACTCAAGTTTATGCAGAAGACTAATATGAGGAAACTCTCCCCCAGGAGGATACAATGCAAATCCCAGGTACTTGCAAATATCCACGTGCCTCTTAACCAAATTTAACACCGGGACCAGAACCGGGAGATACAGTTGTAAGCGCGGCTGTTTTTAAAGCATCGCTTCCCCTCCCGTCCCGGCATAACATTCTGTGCTAAAAGAATACGAATGACATTTAATGACATTAAATGTCGTGGGAAACATCTCCCCAACCCCACACCCCCCCACCACCAAAAGTTGGAAACGTCCGTGCCTTTTCTGCCTGCACACCCTTTCCAGTGAATCTGCTCCATGACATTTAAAACCTCGACGATTTGGAGGGAAAACCACTTCGCACCCCGACACAGATACGGAGAGAGGAGGGACGCTCCGGTCCCGAAGATTTTAAACACGGAAACTTCCTGTTACTAAGGAAACCAGCGGACAGCTGACCCAGCATTAGGCAGCATCGTTCACCAGCGCGCTGCAAGCCGCGGAAGACTTGGCCAAGTTGGAAAAGTTGCCAGCGGCACCCATGTTAAAAACCAATGTCATAATAACCCCCTACACCCTCTTAAACAGTCCCCCACCCTCACCACCACTACCACGAGTCCCTGGGGGGGTCCCCGGCTCGGGGCCCCGGGCCGAGCCACAGGAGCGCAGTATGCACTGGCTGCAGAGTTGGGCAGCTGGCCCCAGAGCCGCGCACAAGTGGATCGCAGAGTTCTCGCCGGCTCCCCGCGGCCCCTGCTGCTGAGGCTGGGCGCCAGAGTTCAGAAAAACGGACGGAAGGTACTCACCGGTTCCCCGGCCAGACCGGCCGCGCACTCGGCTCGCAACGGCTGCCTGGTACTAGCGGTGGCACGCGACGCTCGCGCCTCTTAAGCGCGGAGCTCGGGGGCGTGCTCCTGACCCCGCCCCCTCGCCGCGCGCGGGTGCAGCGCCACCTGCCGGTGCCGGGCGTCAGCGCGCCGTCCGCTTCGGACTCCCACCCCCGCCCCCACCCCGCCGGCCCGGAGAGACGGAGGGAGAACGCTGCAATTTAGATGCTGCTCCCAGAATGGAGGCAGGTCCTGGGAATTTTTTCAGGTCACCTTGGTTTTCATTGCTCCGCGCGTTGGTATATCCTACGTCCGCTCGGTGCAATGAGCAAGCATTTGTACGATTCATTTTCTCTCTGTGTGAGTGTGTGTTTTGGTTGTTAATTTGGGGGGGGGGGGGCGGTCACAGCAGGTGATGCCGAGGGGGCGCTAACACGCGGTGATGGTGGTGGTGGTGGTGGTGGTGGTGGTGGTGGTGGTGGTGGTGGGGAGGACCAAGCCGTGTCAGAGGTAGAATCTGGACTTTCTACACCCCAAACATGTGCTCCCACCCTTTAAGCCATCTCCCTGACCCCTGTGCAATTCTTTGTGTTGGGGGCCACACTGGGTGAGCTCATGGGTTACTCCTGGTAGGCCCAGGGATCACATGAAGTGCAGGGACAGAACCCGGTTGGCCGTGTGCAAGGCAAACATCCTACCCGCTGCATTATTACTAGGGTCCCCGTGTGCGATTCTTTGGAGAGTTGGTTCTCAAATTTTAACGTGTATCATCCTTAAGGCTCGTGCGGACACTAATTCACGACTCCCACTAAGCATCCTGTCCTGTCCTTCCACGATGAGGCCTGAGATCCTGCATTTCTAGCAACTTCCTGGGGATGACTCCGCACTCACAGATCTCACACCGTTTTAAGGTCTCGCTGGCTCATTTCTAATTTCACGGTGACTTCCCCAGCTGCCTGAAATGGACAACTGAGGGCTAGAAATCGAAACGTTGCGGGTCAGTGGACCCCTAAAGCGGCCAAGTCTTGCAGTCCACACACGCATGACGAGCTGAATGCTCCCTTCGTCTTCTCACCTCATTATTAAAGGGAACTCCCCACTCCCTCACCCCATCCTTCTAGGGCTCCAGACTAAAAGCATGGTTTCCAAAAGAGAAAGAATGGGAATAGGGCTTTTCTTCTCTGACTGATAGACCTGGTGATTACAGCTGGGGATCCGACCTTCCCTTTATAAATCGGATTAGCTGGGCCAGAGTAATAGTACAATGGGTAGGGCATTTGCTTTGCGTGCAGCCGACCCGAGTTCCATTTGGCATCCCATATAGTCCCTGGAGGGACTAGTCACCACTAGGAGTCATTCCTGAGTGCAGAGCCAGACAGTAGTAACCCCTGAACATCCTTGGTATGTCCCCCCCAAAAAACAAACAAAACCCAAATCAAATTAGCAATGCGAAGGAAGGGAAATATTGACCACATTTTCTGAGAGATGCTTTTCTCACAGCTAGTGTGGTCCAGCATTCACGGGTGTGTTTTTGTTTGTTTGTTTGTTTTTTGTTTTTTTTGGGTCACACCAGCGATGCTTAGGGGTTTTTCCTGGCTCTGCGCTGAGGAATTACTCTTGGTGGTGCTTGGGGGACCATATGGAATGACTGGGATTGAACCCGGTTGGCTGCGTGCAAGGCAAATACCCTACCTGATGTACCAGCACTCCGGCCCTCATGGGTGTTTTTTGGAAAGACTTTCCGATTGGCGCTTAAAATCCTGTGAAGGTCAAGTTACCAGGGACTGATGCCTTGTGGTAGAAACAGAAGCACACTTTTTATTTCTGGTGAAACTATGAAGAGAATGACTTATTTTTATTAAACTTAAAAATATTGAACTTCTGTGATTTACAATACTGCTAATGATGCTTTCCCATGCACATAATTCCTTAGGGAGAGAATAAGTTTGAAAAGGTTTAGGGGAAAAAAAATCAATCTCTGTGTAGCACAAACTACAAAGAATTAAAGCGCATTTTAAAAGGTGTTTTAAGCATTGTTGAATGATCACAAATTTTATTATTTAACCGCTTATTTTCTTGATTTTGAGACCACACCTTGCTTGTGCTCAGGACTTACTCTAGGCTCTGTGCTCAGGGATCACTCCTGATGGAACCATGCCCTGTGCTGGGGACCAAAATCTCATGGGCTGCGTGGAAGGCAACTCCCTTGGTTTGTACTTGTACTATCTTGTGCTATCTCTGTAGCTCCCTGATCTTGGAGTTTTGAATCAAAGCAATCTACTTTTTTTTTTTTTTGGAGGGGGAACACACTCTGAAATGCTCAAGGGTTACTCAGGAATCACTCCTGTCGGGGCTTAGGGGACCATATGGAATTAAACCTAGTCGGCTGTGTGCAAGACAAACATTCTATCTGCTGTATTACCTCTCTAGCATGCTATTATTATTATTACTATTACTGTTGCTATTTTAAAGATTTAATAGAGTATGGCCAGAGAGATGTACAAGGCTAAGGAACTTGGCTTGCATGTGGCCAAGCCAGGCTCAACTCCCCCTCCCTTAAAGCATGTGTTTTTTCTCCTTTCCCCCAACCCAGAGCACTGCCAGGTGTGATCCTTGAATACAGAGCAGCTAGTAAATCCTGAGCACTGGAAAAACAAACATAAAAGGATTTAGTAGATTAACCTAGGAAGGTTTTTTTTTATATAACCTAGGAAGAGCTAGGTCAAAGACGTTATCAGATTAAGATAAATTGGCTATCAGATTAAGATAAAACTGCTATCTTTTTTTTTTTTTTTTTTTTTGCTTTTTGTGTCACATCGGGCAATACTCAGGGTTACTCCTGGCAATGCTCAAGATTACTCCTGGCTTTGCACTCAGTAAGCACTCATGGGATGCTGGGGATTGAACCCTGTTTGGCTGTATGCAAGGCAAATGCCCTATCTGCTATACTATGGTTCCGGCACCACGATTTATACAATTCTTTCAGGAGATTTTCTGTTCACTATTTTAGTGCAATGGCTAAATATGATACGTTTCAAAGTAAGATGATTGAAATTTTGGGTTTGCTAATTAGACACAGATACTAAAAAAACAATGCAATGAAAAAACACGGTATTAAGGAATTTTATTCAGTTATCAGAAGTTAGTATTGTATGAAATTTTTACTGTTTGGGTGATTTCTATGATTTGGAAATGAGATGAAGAAAACATATTTTTGAAAAGTACAAAGCAAAAACACTGGAAAATGCTCCAAGTCAGTCTCTGTTGAACACTTTCCAAACCCAGCATGGTGTGTTGCAATCAGAAAATGTTGAAGAGTAATTTGCTGGTTTTAGTTTTACTTTTAAGAACCAAAGGATTAAAAAATTTGAATTCACTTGTGAGTTACAAATTTGAATCATTCAGAATATCTTGTAATGAAAATAAGCCACAGCAAGACAGGATAATCAGGGTTACACCTGAACTGATGCTCTCACACTAATCTATCCTCTGGGCAATAATGTAATTTACAACCCAGGAGACTTTTACCTATCAATCAGCAACTTCATCTTAAAATTTGGTAAAGTTTTTGAGAAGTGAAAATGAATAGCACAACTGGTAGGGTGTTTATCTTGCACGTGGCTGACCCGGGTTCGATTCCCAGCATCACTTATAGTCCCCTGAGCACCACCAGGAGTAATTCCTGAGTGCAGAGCCAGGAGTAACCCCTGTGCACTACCAGCTGTGACCCCAAAGCAAAAAAAAAAAAAAAGTGATAAATAGATAGTACAGTTGGGAGGGTGCTGCCTTGCACATACTTGACCTGGATTTAATTCCTGGCACCCCATATGGTCCCCAGGAATGATCCCTTAACTCAGAGCCAGGGAGTAAGCCCTGAGGTTCACCTGGTATGGCCCAAAGACAAAAAACAAAGAAAAAACAGATTTCTTCCAGCCCAAGTCTTTTGCTGCCTAAAACAGATAATGGTTAACTTATGAAGGTTTTGGAATAAATATGTATTAGTTGGTTTTATTTGGGTATTCAATAATATCCTTGGTGATAAACCTTTACAAGTGCACTGTTTTCTTTAGTAGGCTAAGTTTTTAAAACAGTCCACAAGACGAAGAGACTGTGGGTTCCTTTTAAAAGAAACTTTGTGGGTTGGATTCTTTTCTTTTCTTTTTTTGTACATTTTTAAAAATTTTATTTTTTAAATTTTGTTTTTATAAGGACTGGAGCCATAGCAGAGCCAGTAGGGCATTTGCCTTGCATGCAGCCAACATGGCCGACCTGAGTTCGATTCCTCCGCCCCTCTCAGAGGAGCCCGGCTAGCTACTGAGAGTATCTCGCCGGCACAGCAGAGCCTGGCAAGCTACCCATGATGTATTTGATATGCCAAACACAGTAACAACAAGTCTCATGATGGAGACATTACTGGGCCCGCTCGAGCAAATCGATGAACAATGGGAGGACAGTTACATAGTACTCCATTGTGTAGATGTACCAAAGTTTCTTTAACCAGTCATCTGTTCTTGGGCACTCAGGCTTTTTCCAGATTCTGGCTATTGTAAAGAGTGCTGCAATGAACAAACAAGTGCAGATGTCACTTCGACTATACATTTTTGCCTCTCTGGGATATATTCCCAGGAGTAGTATTGCTGGGTCAAATGGGTGCTCAATTTCTAATTTTTTGAGAATCGTCCATACTGTTTTCCAAAAGGGCTGAACCAGTTGGCATTCCCACCAACAGTAAAGGAGTGTCCCTTTCTCGCCACATCCGTACCAGCATGGTTGTTTTTGTTCTTTTGGGTGTGGGCCAATCTCTAAGGTGTGAGATGGAATCTCACTGTGGTTTTGATCTGCATCTCCCTGATGATTAATGATGTACAGCATTTTCTCATGTGCTTTTTTGCCATTCGGATTTCTTCTTTGAGAAAGTTTCTGTTCATTTCCTTGCCCCATTTTTTGATGGAGTTGGATGTTTTCTTCTTGTGGAGTTCAACCAGTACTTTGTATATCCTTGATATCAACCCCTTGTCAG